CCCCGCTGCCCTGCGACGCGCCCCCCCGGCCTGGGGCAGCCGGCCTGCGGGGCCGGGGCGGGGGCTCTTTCTCCGTAGACGCCCGGGCCGGAGCTGATCCCGTCAACAGTCCGCCGTAACAGCGCAGGGACGCGGCGCTCCGGAGTTTCGCCCTTCCCGCTGCTCCATGGAAGCGCAGAGGCTCAGGCCAGCCAGCCCGGCCCCGCGCAGCTGCCCGGGCCGCGCTCTGCCATCGCACCCGCCTCCCTCTGCCCCCACGGCCTCCAGCCACAGTCGCTCTTTCAAGGTTGCGGAGCGTAGCCTTCAGCCATGCCGGCCGGCCGGCCCAGCCCCCCGCCCGGGTCTCACACAAACACCCAGACTTGCTCGCTCGCTCCCCGCCGCGGCTCCAGCTCTTCGCGTCCTTTTCCCTTCTAGGGTTGCACGCTCCGGTTCCCAAGCCCCCAGCCGCTGGGTTATGCAAATCACTTAGGTACATGCAAAAACTAACCCTTCTCCCGTTGTGCTATTGGCCCGGGGAGGCCTCGAGCTCATTATTATGCAGGCAGCCGGGCCGTCATTGGTCAAGAGTGAGACCATGGGGGCGTATTTCCCGAGCATGAGTGACAAGGTGGTGGTGGTGTGGTGGTGGTAGTGGTATTGGTGGTGGTTCAAAAAACCTCTCTGACTTGACTCTCTTTGCCTGGCAGGTTGTGGATTTGAAGGTTAGAAGATCCGCAGGCGAGGACTCTGGTTTTTAACCTTCCCCACCCCGTCTTTTCCTTCCCTCCGCAGAAATTGGATCCTCTAAATTGGATGATCTGAAAAGGCAAAACTAGCCTCCTTAGCCTTCAGTTAAATTTCAAATGACTCTCCACTGTTCCTAAAAGGGCCAAGAACTTTGGGAGCTGTGCAAATGATTTCATAAGAATTTTTAAAAAGGAGGGAGAGGGGAGATCTTTGAAGAGGAGGAAAAAAACGTTTCCTTCAATCTGACCCACATCTTCGGGTTTTAGCTGTGTCCTACATTTAAAACGATTAATTTTCTCACTTCACCTGGGATCTTTATGCTCATCTTTATATACACTTGGTAGCTAAATCAGGGATTTATTATCCCTGATACAAACCAGACTGCTTTCTCACTCACTTTAAAAATCCTAAAACGCAGGGATGTCATAAGGGTCAAAGGATGTTTCTGAACGCTGGATAATTTCTCCAGATAACAAAACTTTTGAGTGCTGAGTGACTATCTTTCAGAAGTCAGTGGGAACTTGACGTTAGGTAATTATTAATATTTCTTCCCATTCTGGACTTGTATTTTCTATGGCCTTTGACATCACCCTCTCCATACCACCCCCTCCCCCCATTAAACAAAATGTAGCTTTATGGGAGCCTCCTTTCTTCATTTGGGTTGTTTTAGTCCTTATTGGAGACACTTTTTTATGAACTCATTAAATTAAAGCACGTTGGGTTTAAACTATCACCATCATAAAGTTAACTAGTGATCTCATGCAAGTAAGCCTGAAGACAGTGGAAACAAGTTGATGCAGACCTAAAAGGCTTTTCAGATGAAACATTATCCATTATCTTTGTATTCAAGAGTTTATGGTTAAAATAATGCCAGGTTGGGCACATGACTAACATTCTATAAATTTATGCTAGAGAGTCAGGGAATACAGACATGACTTTGCGTCAAGTTTTGAGAATGACAAAATGCCTTTCTCCATAGGCCTTAGACACAACTTCAAGAACATTGAAGAACACTTGTGTGTGTGTGTGTGTGTGTGTTGTTTGTTTGTTTTTGTAGGTCATGGGGCTTGAACTCTAGGCCTGGGCGCTGTCCCTCAACTCTTCAGCTCAAGGCTAGCACTCTATCACTTGAGCCACAGCGCCACTTCCAGCTTTTTCTGCTTATGTGGTGCTGAGGAATCGAACCCAGGGCCTCTGGCATGCAAGGCAGGCACTCTACCACTGAACCACCTTCCCAGCCCCCATTTTTGTTTTTTGGTTTTTTTTGTGTTGTTGTTGTTGTTGTTGTTTGCCTTTGCTCTCTGGTTTCAGAGATTAGAAATCTGAACCTCTCAGATACTGTGCTCTTCATACTATCATTTCAGAACAACTGGCTCATTGTCTGGTGTTCTAGGAGGCTTTCCTGACTTCATTTTCAGTGTCTAAGTCATTTCTGCAGTGTTTGAGCAACTTAGATGAGTAAATAAAAGGGGGGAAATTGCAAAATTTCCCTAATTTATGCCTTATATCCTCTTAATAAAACTGAAATATAATGGAATTTCTCTTTGTCAAGATAACACTTTCTTATAGACTTTACTGATTAATTATATTTCTGCCCATTCATTTATTTTCTTACTTTTTTGGAGGGAGTCATTTTCAGGTCTTGAACTCAGAGTCTCCTGCTTGCTAGACACATTCTTTACCACTTGAGTCAGTCCCTGTTTGGTCATTAATTATTTTACCAATAGGATCTCCCACCATTTCTCTAGGCTAACCAGGACACACACACACACACACACACACACACACACACACACACACAACCAAACTCCTATTTATGCCTGTTGGGGTAACTGGGATGACAATTATGTGCCTCCACAGCCTGCTTGCTTTTCTTTTCAAGTAATAATTTTCAAATTTTAGTGATTATGCAAATTATATGCAAAATTGTATTTAGAATGTAGAATGATCTATTAGGCTTGAGAGAAACCCAGGAATCAGCATTTTGAAGCATTTGAGATAAGAGTGATATGGATGGTCTCTGAAACACATTTGGAGAACTTTATTCTTTCTTTCCAGGAATAAAATGTTTTGGCTGGCAACTTAGGTGAAAGGAAAGATTCATCTTTAGCCACAAACGAATTGTAAATTTTGTGGAAGAAGACAATATTCCACACAATAATCCACAGATTATGAAAAAAGACCAAAGATTAGAAATAAAGGACTGGTCGTGAAAAGTAAACTCTATTAAAATGTGAATATTTCTTATATCAGCCATTTAGTTTTTACCTATTATATCAGTTGTCTTCACGCATACACACACACACCACCACCACCACCACCACCACCAAATAAAAACAGATTTTACATAAAACATCAAGACTAGGAGATAACTCCAAATAGAAATTTGGTAACAAGCAGAAAAAAAATCAATCTGCCTACACACTACCTCCTGTGGGTGTATGGATTTATAATATCTACTAGCTAGATATAAAATGTAGCCTGAGAGGCTTTTGTAGCAGCACATGTCTGCATTCCCAGAACTCAGGAGACACAGGCAGATTGATCACGAGGTCAAGGCCAGTCAGGCTGCAAAGCAAGACCTTGTCTCAGAAATGCAAGACAAAATAAAGATGTACAGCTGGGCAGCAGTGGCTCTACCGCTGCTGTGTGTTTCTTTGGGGCAGTAAAGAAACTATCCTCTCTAAGGGACGCAAAGGACATAGGACTAAATGACTGTTGGGCAACTGACTAGCCCTTGTCCTGGCGTGCTGGTAAACAGAACTCAAGAAGAGTATTCAGAAGCCCTATCTCCTAGGTGAACCGTCTAAGAAGGCATGATTTGGAAGACAGTGGGGGCATTTTAGATAGTGATACCTTGACGAATTGCACTTTTTGTAAAGTATCCCTCACTTAGAAAAATAAACCAAGGCTATTGCAATCAGCTTATGAAATAAGCAAATGTGGCAGAAGTGTCCTGTGTACTTGCTCCCGATCTGTTTCTTCTTCTTTTCTCTGAATAGTAAACATTTTCTTAAATGTCAGAATGAATACTAATCAGGTATAGAATTTTATCTATGTTCTGCAACTTGCTTTTTGCATTCAACTTATAAGCTTTCTCCTTGTTCCTAAAGTAGGTACCTATGTTAATTAATTTTTGTTATTGTATTGTATTCCATTTCAAGAGTATACTCAGAGGACTGGGAATATAACTCAGTGATAGATAGAGTGTATGCTTTGTGTCCAAAGCCCCTAAGTTTGATTCCTAGAATGACAAAGAAAGGAAAGAAGGAAGATAAAAGAAAAGAAAGGAGAAAAGAAAGAGTTAAAAGGGAAAAGAAAAGAAGGGAAGGAAGGGAAGGGAAGAGAAAAAAAGTGTGCCAAATAACAGAACTATTATAAGGACACAAAAGGATATAGAGAAGTAGATTTATTTTGAAGTATTCGCAATCAAAGAAGCTAATTTCATGACCTGCCATCTGTATATTCAAGTCCCAAGAAAGCCAATGCTTTAGTTCAGGCTCAAGTACTTATGCCTGAGAACCCAGCAACCATGGTAGTTCCTGTCTGAACCTGAAGGCTTGAGAGCAAGGATGGCAGGGAAAAGTGTATGTCCCACACAAACAGAATGAACAATATCACCTTCTTTTCTGTTCTATGGAGGCTGACGAATTCTACCCACATTAATGAGGTCATCTTCTTTACTCAGGGTACAGATTCAAATGCTCATCTCTTCCAGAAACCCAGTCACAAGGAGATCTGATGTTTGACCACCTAATTGGGCATCCTTTGCCCAGTAAAGCTTGCGTTTGAAAAAAATTTTGTATCCAATATGTAATAATCTATCCACTTTATTATTTCAATTTTTTCTAATATGTATGATTGTTCATATATACATATATTTCCTTCATATATGGGTCCAGTAGTGGAATTGCTGGGTCATAGATAATAAGCATTCACCATTATTAAATGTTGCTACATTTCACACAAATGACTATGTGATTATGCTTGTGGCATATGGCTGTATATCACAGCATTCAGGAGGCTGAGATTGGAGGACAGTGAATTGTTTGGGGCCAGATTGGACTACATGATGAGATCCTGTCTCATGACAGGGTCCTAATAGGGTCAGAGAACAACAACAACAAAATCACCATTACTCTGGACCTTACCAATGTCCAATGTTACAGGCAAAACTGCAAGTCTAATGAACATGAAGTGAAATCTCAGTGTAGTTTGGATTTGACTTTACCTGATTACAACTGTATTTTTTCACATTTGTGTTGGACAGTCTGGCATGTGGTTTTCTGCATCACCTGTTCATTTCCTTTGTTTTCTATTAGGTTGTATTTTCTTTTAGTGTTTTAGAGTAGAGATCAGCAAATACTTTTTTCTGGTTTTTTTTTTTTTTACTTAGGGCCTTGTGCTTGGCAAGCAATTACTCTGCCTCTTAAGCCAAGATTCCTAGCTCTTGCTTTTTGCCCAGGCCAGCCTTTATTTATGTTTCTTGCTTAACTGTGATGACAGGCATGCACCACCATGCCCAGCTTTATATTGGTTGAACTGAGTCTCAAACTTTTTGCTTAGACAGGCCTCCAACTACAATCTTCCCTACCTCTGTACCTCGAGTAGCTAAGATTACAGGCACAAGCCACCATGCCTGGCTAGCAAACATTTTCCATACTGTGTGCCCCATACAGGGACATACAGTAACCTTGGAGGACTTTGTGGTCTCTCTCAGAACTCTTCTGTTCTGTCATTGTAACATGA